ACAGGTGCCTTACTAGTAGTAACAAGAAGCTACTAGAAACAAGTGCCACGCTAGTAGTAACAGGTGCCTTACTAGTAGTAACAAGAAGCTACTAGAAACAAGTGCCACGCTAGTAGTAACAGGTGCCTTACTAGTAGTAACAAGAAGCTACTAGAAACAAGTGCCACGCTAGTAGTAACAGGTGCTTTACTAGTCAACAAGAAGCTACGTCCGGGAGACCCGGACCGCTCCCCGTCCGGCCCCCCCGGACCCGCCTCGCTGAAAGCTGGGGATCGCGCCACTGCTTCCGCTCCGCCCGGGTGTGGGCAAGGACCCATCCTCGGTCCGGCACCGGTGGGTGATGGGCTGTGAGCAGCCATCTATAGCATGGGCGGTTTGCCCCCCCTTCTTGGGCACACCCAAAAAAAGGTGTGGAGAATGCACGATATCCTGGCGTCTTTTGCTCTAAGAAGCTCTCCCTTCTTTACACACATCGTCCTTTCCACCTCTATAGGTCATCTATAGAGTTGCCAAAAAGGAGACGGCCACTTTGTTGCAGGCCCCTCGGCCTTGTAGTACTACAACATCTGACCGAAGCGCCGAGTCCAATCATGACCAAGCACCCGAACGGTGTTAAACTGACGAAGCACCCAAGGCTCACGCGCACCGATCGGCAGGCATTGAAGAATCAACTCGAGATCGATCGATTTGCGTCAATCCAAGTGTCCACTGGCATGGGCTGCTGTGTGACAATCGTCCTCCCAGGTGTTGGGATAGGAGATTGCTCGAAAACGCCATCCTGAGACAAATGCATGTTGCCACTCGTCGTGCCAAACTGCTCCAGGTGTTTTGGCAACAGTGGCTGCACCTAGTGGATACCCAAACGAACAGCCACAAAAATTAAGGTGAATATGGATCAGAACTCGCCCTACGGACCTTGGTCATCTCTGACTCGTCTACCTCATCTACCTTCCACCAAGCATCTGCATGCGCCAAGCGAATCTGCTGGAGATTCACCGGGGGCACCGTCGGGTGCGCGCCGTGAGGCGCTACTCCGGGCGCGGCGGGCGCTCTCTTGACGGCGTGGATCACCGCGAAGCCTTGGACCGCCATGAGTCCAGCTTGAGCCAAGAGAGGCCGCAGGGGGGGGGGGCAGGGTGGTGGACGCAAACGGGCTTTTCAATGCCGGTATGGTGCATTGAGAGAGATGGTGGACGGGTGTGGGAATGAAGCCGCCATTTGTGGTTGTCATGTTGCATGAAAAACACCAACTGGATCAACTCTTTACTTCGCATATGCTCCAGCATCTGATCTCAAGATTTGGAACATTTGGAGTGATTCAACTACCTAACGCCACACGATGTCCGTCCCGTCTCCTTGGCTGACACTTTTTCTGGATTGGCCATGCGTGGGACATGCGGCCAAGCAAGTTGCTTCGGGTGGAGTATGCCAAACTTTAAAATCTGTCAGCAGTGGTTCCCATTCAAGGTATTGATTTCAACTGTCCGACATGATCCAGCCTAACGTGTGTCACATGACTTGTGTGCAATCCCACTTCGCACCCCATACAACACGACTCTTGATCATCCTTCATGTCATGCCATGGACCAGCTGTACTTGTGAGTGGGGCAAGGTTTAGGCACTGCCTTTCTGCTCAGGAGCTGGCTAGGTAAGCACACAGTATTGGTCTTAGAGTATGCGAATGGGCTGCATGTAGTCAGGTCGTCGTCGAGCTTTGCCTCAGGGTGTGTGCCCGGGGTAATGAGGCCTCATCCAAGTGCTATTACTAACTATGACTATGCGCCACGATTTCTGGGCTTTGAATGGATTGAGCCAAATAAGCGCTCGCAACTTAGCATGTTCCCCAGCCTTGCCCAAATAAAGGTTCCATGAGAGTTCTGTACGTCTCTCGAACCTAGAAAGGTTCATGTTCCTTTTGATTTGTCTGATGGTTTCTGCGATATCAGCCGGCACTAGACCTACAGCCTCCAACCTACTTGCGATGGCCTCCACCCTAGTAGCTTCAGAAGCTTCTAGTAGGCGTATTAGAAAGCTTTCTTGTTACCATGCAATAGCAATGGCCTCCAACCTACTTGGCACCGAGCCCGTCTCGCCCCCAAAGCTCCCCCCCGCCCACCTCGAGGCACCTGGCGCAAGCGCTTGCGCTCAGCTGAGGGCACAACCACACCGAACTGGAGGGAATCATTTCGGTGCATTCCCAAAGCCACGAGATGGTGGAGCAAAACGATTTGCAACGATTCCCAAGCAACTGATCCCAGGGATAAGGGATATAGGATACGATATATCATCCAATCGTGGTCAACTTTGCACATGTTTGTTCATCAAATCATGTTTACATCACATGTGAAGCATTGCGAACCGCATTGCAAAACCGTCCAAAACTGCCGTATCCCCAAGCTGAGCTGTCTTCCGACCGACCAGTTCGGTTCCCAACGGCCGAGCGAGCGTGGCTTTTTTGCTCCCCTCGGCCCTCACGCCACGGGCGGTGATCCTGAACACCACCCAACGCACGCGGGGGCCGCGCGAAGGAAAGGCACTGCAGGAATACACCCTCTCAGGAAACAATTCGAAATCCCACAGGTTTCTACCCTTTTTGAAGGACATGTACCATTTTAACGACCGACATGTGAAAGGGTGCTGCACTCCAAGTGCTAGGCAAGGGAAGAATCCCTGTGGCCAATTCATTCAATTGTGGCCGAACGGTGCAGGATATAGTTTCCCTTTGTGACCTTTCTCTCCACCTTGACCTTCAGCCCTCGCACAGCACTTGAGTGCTTGTCCAGGCTTAGCGCCTGGCATCATAGCCAACAGCTTGGCAAAACCTAACATTGCGCTACTTGCCATGCCTTGCCTAGCTGCTCAGGAGGTTCCGGATCAATCCTCCGAACTGCTCGGGCGCGGCCACCCTGGCCGCCGCCGCACTGGCCGCGGTCGCGGTTGGCGCGGCACGGAGGAACGCCAGGAGGTCGCCGGAGCCGTCGTAGTTCCTCGCCAAGTATAACGAGTGGTTGTCAAGAGCAGGGCGGTTCCAGCATCAACTCAAATGTGCTGGAGGTTTCTTCAACATCAAGAGAGCGACATCCACGTCATCTAAGAAGGAATCTTGAGAAAAACATAGGACAAATCAATCAGGAACACTTCTTGTCATGGAGCAAGTGGGGGAAAGAAACACACGACATCACTCAAAAGCAAGCGCTCCTTTTGAATAATAAGGACCATCCGGCAAACAACCATCAAACACAGAAGGAACAAGATGCGAACTGCATTTGGCGGTCGATAGTCTTCCATAGTCTTCTAACAGAAAAGGAAGCAAACAAAGTGAAACGCCGAAGTCACACACGAAGCAAAACAAACTCGACTGGTCACCCACAGGTTTTCTTCGTGTTTGGCACTTCATCCCACTTCGTCCGTGGCGAGAACCGTCGCCGAGGGTCTCATAGAGCCATGCACGTCTCTGTGGCGTGAGCCGTGCCAGGCACTTCTTCGTCTCCACAGGTTCCAGCTCCCAAAGATCCTCACTTCCGTGCGCACCATCCGAATCCGAATCCGTCCTCCGCCCGTCACCTACCATGTCCGACCGACCTTCGGAGTTGGAGTTCGGGCACCAAAAATGGCATGACCATGGCACGGCCATCTTGCTTCTCCAAAATGGGCTTCCATGTGCTGGATTTCGGTATGTTTCTCTATAAGTCCCTGCTTTGCAGACTTCTTGTGGAATCCATTGGATGATAAGCTGAAGAGATGCTGGCTCTTCATCGTCATCCCTCACAGCAAGACCCAGTGAATCTCAACGTCAAAGGGTTCTGAGATGCGTCACTGCTTCCTCTTCACCCACTCAGCAACAGCGCGGAAGTCAATGCCCAGACACTCTGGAACACATGTCAAACACAACATAAAGCCTTTGGATCCTTGTCTCTCTCACACACACACACCCAAGCACACACCACTTCCAGACTCACTCGACTCAAAGATCCGAGCATCGATGAACTCCTGGATCCGTTCCAACTCCGCCGCCGCTTTCACCGGTACCGCCGGTGCCGTCTTCGATGCCGGCACCGACGCCAAGGCCGACGCCGTCGAGGCCGGAGCGGCGCGCACGGCAGGTCCTAGGCGTCCGTGAGACAAAGGAGAGGTTCTTTTCAACGCCTCATGCCTTCCGTTTTGATGTCGATATGAGATGTGTAGTCACTTGTCTCGACCTCGCCCTACCTCATATGTCTGTGGCTCACTACGAAAAGGTCTTGACGTCTAGGCGCTCTTCTCAGCATGTCCGTTGTAGGGCTCAGGACGCAAGAAGGGCGACGTCTTCAGCCTCGGCGACGGACGTTTCCCATCGTTTCCCTTTCAACACTGGAGACGCCCGTGGAATTCGCAGAACAAGGAAGAAGCAGCCTGCAAGTAGTTTCTTGTTGCTAGTGGAAATGGTCTCCAACCTAATAGCGATGGCCTCCAACCTAGTAGCTTCTTGTTGCTAGATGATGCTAGATGGACATCACACAATCAATCTGATGGCCAGTGGCGGTTTGTAAACGCTAGTCCTGGGCGTCGGAGCTGTCGGTACGACGGAGTTCCTCACCTGAAGTGGGCAAGCTGCTGCCGCATGAGTTGATCCAATAACCAACTTGGACAAACCAATTCCACCTATCGAATATGCAGCATGTTACTACTCATGTTGGCATATTGTGGCCGGAGGTGAATCCATCCACTTCAAGGAGTCTGACAGACTGACAGGTGTTTGACATCGACAGGTCCAACATGGTCCAATCATTGAACAACATCGAATCGTCATGTTCATCTTATTTCATTGACTTAAATTCACTTCTTTGCCCCTTCATTTCCTCATCTTCACCGCACCTTCAGATTCTGCTTGGCCCTCAAGCTCTCCCCTGGTTCCAACTCTTCCTCAAGCTCCACCATCTCTTCCTCCGTCTCCGGCTCCGTCTCCGGCTCCGGCGTCTCCGGCGCCGTCTCCACCGTCTCCACCGGCGCGGTCTCCGGCTCCGCGTCGGCGCCGTCCTCGTCGAGATCCGCAAGGCCCACCTCGCGGCGATGCGCCTCCAGCAGCTGCAGGTCGATGCGCAACAGCTCCGCTTGCCTCGGGGCTGAAACGTCAGAGGAAGGGACGGTGGAAGGGGTGGGAGGGAAAGACTGGGAGGTTTTCATGGACCATTTGCTACCAAAACATCTTGCCGTGGTTCTTGGCCGGCCGGCCGGCTGATCGAGAAATAGCGGGCCGCGATAAGCTCGCAATGGTATGTTGACAAGAAGTTCACACATTGGGGTGCGTTCATCAACCTTCGTGGTTTGACACAAGTATACCCAACGAAGGGCACAAATCACCCAACTATACAACTTCGAGCCAACCACGAAAACAGCCGCCGCAAAATCAAGAAACGCCGCAGCTTTACAATTTACGCCGCCATACGGTAAAGGGGCAACTTTCTTGGAAACGTGCCTCATACGAATATCTAGGTATATATGTAATATATAATATGTAGAATGTAGAACTATCAATATTTAACTTGCAAAACTGTTGTACATGTTGGTCCTTTGGCTTGTCTACCGCTCTCAAGAACAGTGTCCTGCTATTATCTGAACAGTTCAACCTCCCCAAATATCCAAACATGTGAAAACCACGCCTTTTGGATCTGAACTTCTGCCATCAAGGGTGCTTGCTTGGGTATCTAATCGTATCTAATCAAGAATGCAACCACCAAACCTACAGTAATTAAGTTTCTCTGCAAGTCAACACGGGCAACGAAAACTGGATGAATCAGGATCGCTTGACCATTTCGACATTCTTAATCCGACCAACGGGGTGAAAGTCACCAATGCTTCTGACACTCGGTCGGGAGATTGCAACAAAAGTGGTCGTTGGTATCATTCTTGTCTTGCAGTGAGACAAAAACTTCCAATTCAGGAGCATATTGGATCACAACAGCAGGTGCATCACGGTCTTCCAAGTCACCAGTGGCCGTTCCTCTTGTAGTCCTGGTCGTTAGCCAAGGGGTAGTGCTTCTGCACTCGACGAAAGAGTGCTAAGGCCTCCTTTTCCCCGGACCTGCAGACTTGATGCCACATGGTTCAGCTCCTGACGCTTTGGAGCTTTCAAGACGGTTTGGAAGATAGGTGTGGCTAAACCTGACGAAATTGTAACCATCACTCTCAATGTGTGGCAGAACATGGCAGAACCACTTACTGAAACCTTATGCAAACAACAGGTGTTGCTGTTGCAAACTCCTGAAGCCTTCCATGGAACGTCATCAAACTCGTCTGTGTGTTCATTTGCGAGTCCCAACGGCAGGATGTGCAAGATGTGTGCCTAACCCGCTGCAAGATCTTACTCAAAGGGCTGTCCAACCGGCTGCGCCTCTGCGGCTGCTCGTTGGGTGCTTCGCTCTGAACACCTCGCTGTTCTGGCTGGCGTTGCTCCATGGCAAGACCCCCCCGTGCGGTGTGGCGCCTCTCAGTGTCTCTGACACGTGGTGTTGGCTGGTCTGTGGGGATGTGAGAGGAAGTCCAATCCCAGCATCTTCAAAAAGCTCAATGACATGACCTCTATGTACCTGTATGGTCTGTAGGATGGCTCAAAGCAACCTGGTCTCATGATGTCTCATGGTCTTTCTTGTTGGATTTGTGCAAGCCAGCTGACAGGCTCGACGCAAAAGGCGCATTGGAAGTCAAAAGCTCCTCACACTTTCCTCTCACCAAGCTTCCTGTGCCTGTTTCTTTCGTCTGTCAAGCACGTGACATGTCAAGCCACGCTAAGCCAGCAAAGCGTGGTGGAACAGTGAATTCTCAAATAGTCCCAGACCCACAACCCAGCCTGGCCATGAGTGCTGAGCTAGAAGCTGCATCGGCCCGTTTCGATGCAAGCGAGCCAGTCGGCTGCAGAACAGTCCATGTTCGCAGCGAGCCGTCCACACATCGTCCGGAAGTCCCCAGTGCAAAGCGAAGTGCTGGGACTTGGAAGGGAGGTCACCGTTCTTCGATTCTTCTGGTCAACGGGTGCTTTTTCGAACACCCTGAAGGCATTGAAGCACGGTTCTCTCCAACGCGCCGTTTCCGCCTGCCGAGCAACTCTCGAGATCGCAAGCGAGCTCTTTGGAGACGATCTGAACTTTGCGCACTGCGACATCACGGGCTCCACAAGACAAATGATCAAATAGCTGCCGTCAAGAAGAGCGCACGGACGTTGTTTCATGGACGTCTGTCTTGGAGGGACCTTGGCATTAACTAAAGCAGCTTTCGAGCAAGTCTTTCAGGGGCCAAGCGATGTTCCAAGCTCAGCTGCTCCAGCGATGGGTGGCAATCGCCATGTTTCATGGCGATACACTCTCAACCAACGGCCTCTGGGCCATCAAAACCATCACGTCGCGCAAGCCCTGCACTGATGGTCAAAAGGGAAAAAAGCCGTGGCGATTGGCCCCGAACCAGGTGGGATGGATCAGCTCAAGAAGTCGAGCAACTGATCATTGAAAGATCACTGAGGTGATTCACCTGGTGAACGGGGCAACCGCTGCCTTCAGACCTCAAAGTCTCTATGGCTCCGATGAGGTCTCTTAGCATAAATGGAAGCACCCAACGTGCAGGTCTTACAGGTTGGCCATGGTTGATCGACTGGCCGAATTGCCAAAAACATCTCCAAGAAACACCATTTGTTCTTTTTTTTTTGTATTCTGGTCCCTGTCAACACCAGATCCCCTCAACCGCTCAAGCACAAGCACCAAGATGCACCATGTCACCATACACCTAGACGCCTAGACCAACACGGTGCTCTCTTTTCACACAAAATATGCCTCCAGACCTGCATGAGAAGGATTTCGGGGAACGTTACGCAAAAGCATTTGGATCACTGGCGCTCCATCAAGCTTTCTTCTTGAAGAATGCGGCAGCCGTGACCGAGAAGAGACATAGCTGGGGCAAAATGAGGCCATGACCGTGCCTTTTGACACCATGCGCAAGCTGGTGTGGCAGGAGAGCACCTCTCAATATCCCAACAAAGGTGTCAAAGGTTGGAACCCATTCGATCCACTAGTGTGTTGGAATGTGAGATCTCCACACAGGAAGCACAAACCCAGGGATCAGCAGGAGTCATCAACAGGTGGTTCGTCCACTAGGTCAAAGGAGGGTTAACTCCAGGCACTCGAACAAAGAACACATGGTCAAAGAAGGGAAAGCACATCGGCACCTAATGCATTTAAGCAGTTGTGCCAAAATTCAAAACGCCCTGAAAATAACTACCTCAAAGCCTCAAAGAAGACCTTGGTGTTCACTTCAGGGACTTGGGGACAGGAACTGCAGACATGCTCAATGTCGGATGTTCAGACTGAGGCTGCTGGATTCCAGATTCCGGAGCTGCTTTTCGTTCTTTCTTTGTCCCCTTGTCTTCAGATCCAAGTGACCGGAATCGGGAACCGGCTTCTTCTTCTTCTTCTTCGTCTTCTGCTTCTTCTTGTTCTTGTGGGGATGGTAACAGAATGTAACAAAAGTCAGTGTCTGCAGGAAAAGTGCCTTTGAGCCTTTTGGGGGTGCGAGAAACAATGCACATTAGACCTGCTGCATGCTTCAGTCATAGCAGCCGGGCGCAAGTCACCATGTTCCCACTATATCATCCCACACAGCAGAGTGGCTTTGAGACTGCAAATCCGAAGTTATGAGTGCTGACTTTTTCAAGCTACGAAAGACCTGCTCCCACATGATCTGCCCCTCTATGTCGGAAAAAAGCGCCGAAAGCAGTGCATGCTGATTTCAGGCACCTCACCTGTCAGTAACAGGTGCCACGCTAGTAGTAACAGGTGCCTTACTAGTAGTAACAAGAAGCTACTAGGAACAAAGGATAACAAAGGCTATCTGCTAAGATTTCCATAAAGTTTTTCTTGCCTCGAAGCGCAGGTGCCTCCGATCTTGGGCCCCTTTGGCTTCCGAGGGCCAAATAGTACGATGGTAGGAGCCGACAGCTTTTGAGGGTCAAAAACTGGATCGAACCTACTGCTGCTTAGAGGCTTATCAATTTGGCAGCCGGAAAACCTGCTTTGGATTTGAAGTAGCCAAGGTTCCTCTGACAGGAGCTTACCCGACGCACCGATCTACCTCCGCCACCGCACAGTGCCACATGGCGCTTTGGAGTGATTTTGCAGTCTGTCTTGAGAGTTTCTTCCAAACACTTCGAGGAGACAGTATTGTTAACAAGAAAAACTGCCTGGAAACAGGACAGAAAAGCGGACGAGGACAACAGTCCGCTGGGTTCCAGCCTTTCTCCAACCGGTCAGGGGCGTGCAACTCGTTTGGGGGCCAAAGGGCCACTGAATCCAGCAAGCCAGCGTTCGTAGCGTCCGATCGTTCCTAGTAGCGATGCCAGGATCCCCGAACGTAGCGAACCTTGCTCCTAGTACTCCCTTTCTATCTCATCTCATCTCATCTCTTCTCCAGTTTGCCTAACCTCACAGCTCCATTTGGCGCCATTGTGGCTCACATGTGGTGGCTCTGCGGCTAAATTGCTAAACATTGAGGAGCTTCTGAGGGAAGAAGTGCATCCATTGCCTTTCCTCCTCGGGAGAGATTGGCCGAAGTCCGCCTTGGCATGGGCGAAGCCAGATCCCCCAGCATTGGAGGCATCAAGGCCCATAACCCCCAATCAAATCACTCACGCTATCGTTGCAACTGATTGGTTCGCTGGAGCAACTTGCAAGTAATGTGATCCCAGGCTCCAATACGAGTACTCCGATTTCCTCAGAAACATTCTTGTCGCACCCTATAGAAGACTAGGTCTAGGTTATATATGACCTATAGACCTAGTCTTTGCCGGTCTTTTTCTCTTTACCAAGGCATCTATCAAGCCCCAGCTCCAAATGCTCCACCGTCTGAGCCGGCGAAGCGCTCTCCGTCTGGGCCGCCGCACCGGTGAAACCACCAAACTCACATCGCTTCACCATCTTCTGCCCCACGTGAACGCGCAAGCGATACCATCGGGACCTGCCGCGAAACATCGCATGCGAGTCGACGCCATGCGAGTCGAGCGTCTTCGACCGTCTCTGGACCCACCGACGGGCGAAACACAGTCATCTAAAAACGGTTTAAACCGCTAAAACTGTTTATCAAAAAACCGCTCAAACTCGTTGAGTTGCTTGGATCACATCCTTGGTGCTGGTGCTTTCGATCCCCCACGGACCGAGAAAGGAGGAATGTGGTGGGTTCGGGCCCAGTGATTGGCCCAGTGGTCTTCAAAAGGCTTCACAGCCCTAAGTCATTTTGTTCTTAAACTTGGCTTGGAGCTTTAGCTCCAGTTATCAAACTGACTTGCAATGCTGCAGCACCCCTCTCGCCCAGCCCCGCCATGGAGAGAAGTGTTTGAAGATCACACAGGCCCAAGCCTAGGATCCGAAATGACCCAAATAAAATCTATCCAAATCGAAGACTTTGCAATCTTTTTGATCATTTTGATCCTTGTCATCACAATTTTTTAGATGTGATGAACATGCGAAGAGGCAATCTGCTGAATACTGGGCGCTGGGCGGACTTGCCTTAGTGCACTCAACCAACGATATAGTGCGCACGCTGGAGCAATCTCCCAAGTATAGGAGACCGCTGAAGCAAGATCTCCGACGTGAAAAACCATGGAGCCTGGTGCTTTTCTAGGACGCTCTTGCCCTTTGTGCCGGATCCACCTGAAAACAGTCATGGGGTCTTGTGTTGACATGGGCAGGCTAAGCCACCTTTCTCTCGAACAAAGCGCACAAACGACTGCCTCGCGGCCCGCGCATCCCCCAAAACCCGCGCGAGGTCTGCCCAGCCCAGCAGAACAAGCAATCCAGGTCTTGGAGGGACCAAGAAAACTGGGGGGTTCGTGGAAAGCATCAGAATAGGAATGAGATGGACAATGAGATGGAATGCGTCCCAATTCTATAGCAATCCTTGGTGAGAAACCTAACACCACCAAAGCCCTTGTGCGAAACAAACACGCCATGGGGCCACCCGGGTCCACGCGCAAGTCTTCCAAATGCCCGTGCCTCATTTCGAGCCCAGTCGCGAGGAGCTGGACATGTAGGTCTTCTGAGGTCTTCGGGTTGACTTTGTTCCTAGTAGTAGGGCCAGGAGCCCCTAGTTCTCATGATTTGATGCTTATTGCCGCCAGCGGCCCTCGAACTTCGCTTCTCACTCCCGCTTCTCATTTCGTCTCACGTCTGAAATTCCCTTTGGGAACGTCAGCCGTCAACTCTGAGACTTGGAAAGCCCAGGTCACCAATGTACCGGGCGTTCCCTCGAAAACAGCCGCTCGGTCCACACTCTCAGAAGGTCGGGGTCGGACCGAGCGGCTCGACCGAACGGTCTGGGCCTCGCGCCTCGCTCACGTCCGACCTAGCTTCCCAGTAAGGTCTTGAACTCTTCAAAGTCCACCAAGCGCGACTCCCCGTCTTCCTGCTCCTCGTACTCGTCCACATCAGACCCGGTCAGTCCTCGACCCAGATTCAGCATGACACTCCGGAGTTCCTTCATGTCAATGAAGCCGCGACCATCCCGGTCAAAGACCCTGAAGGCTTCCCGTAGCTCTGCATCCTCATCTTCAGCCTGAGCTTCCATCAAGCGATCCATCATGGAGAGGAAGTCCTCCAAGCGGATCACGTTGTCCCGGGCCACCTCTGCCCTTCGGGCGTCAAGCTCAGCGTCTGAGAGATTCAAACCCAGCGATCGAGTCAACACATCAAGCTTGTTGGCTTCCACCTTCTTGGTATCACCGCCAAGCTTCGAAGAGCCAGCAAACAAGCTGAAGGCCTCTGTGAACTCACCCACTTGCTCTTCACTCAGTACCATGGGCACAGCGAAACCGAGGCAAACCAAGCTGAAGCCGAGAATTCGAAACAATCAAGTGCAGAACACAGTTGGCTCAACACTTCTCGATATATTAGCAGCCCAACCTTGAAGTCAACTCTGCCCAAGACACATGTAATTCTTGCATGTCGCAAGTAGGTTGGAGGCCATCGCTATTGGGTCCCTCAAAGTCTTATAGTCTTTTTCTGAGTGTCTTAATCTTATATAATTCTCTATCCAACGAAAAGTAAAGCCGAGGTTCCACCACCCAAAAGGGCTCGCCAACTGCATCTTCCACTGCAGCTCCACTGGCTGACCCACCTGACCAGGAACCCGCATCAGAAACCGCCTGAGCGGCCACTGTGTTCAGCCAACCCTGTGAGATCACGACCCTTTTTGGAGTCCGAATGCAGGGTTCCACCTGGAGAATCTGTGGCTTGGACTCTGACCTGTCACCTCTACGTGCATCTTCCAACTCATTTGCAGCCACCTGCAGTGACCTGCTACATCCGTGACGCAATCTGTGACTTCTCCTCCCACACCTCCACCTGCAGCTCACGTGTTTCACCTCCAAGGCCGGATGTTCTCCCACCAAGGCCTCGAGACCTCGTAGGCCCTCAAGAACCTGGCAGAACCCCACGGTGGGAGGACTGGCCACGGACCCGGACCAAGGTACCAAGCGAGGACCTTCAGTGTCGTGAAATCTCATGTGAAATCGCAACCACAGCAACTCTTGGGAAAAAACGCTTACCCATTGAAGGCCATCGCCTATTAGGTTGGAGGCCATCGCTAGTAGGTTGGAGTGCTCCGTTCAAACGGTCCAAACTTGGAGGTTGAAGAACCCACCAAGCTGCAAGCACTGACCGTGAACCACACAGCACCTGACAACCCTCCTGCCATCCCTCTTGGCAGCTCTGTTGGGGCACTGTGTGACACCCCGGTATCTAAGAAATGCTCTTACGGAGCATGTAAATAAGCTGTTTGCACCATGAACTTCCTGGTCGGCCTGATAAGGATAGCAATCCCAGCGAATCCGAGGGACCTGCCAATGGCGTTGCTGCCAGGCTGGCGTGCGCGCGTTCCCGTCTCTGCGCGCCGGCAAAGCAGGGTTGATACGACCGATGGCACCCCACGGCGCCACGGTGCAAACGAAAGCGGACCCCCATCTGTCTAAGGCAGTCAGGGGGTTCCCACGTGCTATTCAGACGTCTGAAACGACGTACGGACACCCTTTATGTCTGGCATGCTGTCAATTTGAGGGCTCAAGCATGCTGTTACCCTCGGCTAAGCCTAAGCATGCCAAGCCTGACAGGATCAATGCCAAAGGGGCAAACCTTTCAAAACTGTTTGGGTGATGGAGCATGGCACTATGGACCAGATTCTGTTGTTTTGGGCGATGTGTTTGTCATACTGCTGCTACACCTGATGTGTGCGGCGCTCAGGCTCTATGCGGACTGGTCAAATGGGCTTGTTACCAAAGCGCGGTGGGAAGGGGCAGGACTGTTGACCAAGTGCTGAGCACTCCGAGGAGGTGAACATCTCGGGAGTTCTGCCACTCCAAGACTACGGCGGGACACGCAAACTCTTCGCGGCGCCGGCCCATTTGAGTTGATGGGATCTTTTCTGCTATTGATTCATGATTGCTATGGGAAGAGTTTGGCCCTTACAGCTGGCTAGTGTGAGTGGCAGAAATCTATATTGAAATACATGTGAGCTGGTCGTGAGGCCGCTCACCAAATATGCTAGGAAGTTTTCACAATTCCTTGACTCTTGAAGTGATGCATAGCGTTCTCGTAGCTCCCTGGACGTCCCACACTTACCCGGAAATGGTGCTGCATTTGCCTGCGCGTTGTTACAAAGAACGTCTAACCAAGTGAAGTTCGGGTGTTCTTGGTTTATACTTTAGTTGCTACTTGGTTTTGTGCATGGTGTGATTTGCTTTGTTCAGCCCAGTTTGCTCAATAGGATGGAGGAATGGGGTTTGATTCGGAGCATGTTGAACAATGAAGTGCATTGCGGTCACGAACAACCGTTCAACCGTTGCTGGCTAGCCTGATAGGACAAACATGATTTACCAACTGAATGCGGTGCATGTCTGAAATGGAGAACTCCGTCTAGAGTCCAATGAGCTGATGAACCATGTCTTAAGCTCTAGCCCACTCTCTAGCCCTGTAGCTCATGACTAATACGTTCCAACATTGATTTCCAACCTTGTGATCTCTTCCCTGCCCAATGGCAAGAAGCTACTAGGTTGGAGGCCCTCGCTATTAGGTTCCTTTTGCTATTTCAGGTTGGAGGCCACTACTAGCACGAAGCTCGAACTCGGAACACATCCTGCCAACTCGGCCTGAGGAGATCCCTGTTGCGTGGCCGTCGGCGAAGACGACAGCGACCGCGAGGACCACGTCGAGGTCGGACTCCGATGGCCCAAGGCCGCGAGCCCCGCGCTCCGAAGCCTGGCTTCGGCAGGGCGCGGCCCGTGCGATGCCGCTTCAAACGAAAAGCATGAGCCCCGAACATAGCGTCCGATCGCTCCGTTCGTAGCGATGCCAGGAGCCCCGAACGTAGCTTCTTCTGGTGAACTTGAAGGAATCCCATCCAATCACCGAAAACATCGCAACATTCGCAAAGACCGTTCTTCTTCGGCTGCAAACCCCTCCAAAAGAGCACCCACGCCATCCATGACCAAAACCAGCGGCCTCATTCGTGCGGAGGGAGGACAAAACCTCGGCCGTCCCGACTCCGCGAATCCAACGTGCCGAGGTGTCGATGATCAAAACAGCCGCAGCTGCTCAGGGTGTCAAAGAAAAATTACAACCTCAGGGCCTGCCGAGCATGCCAAGTGACTTCAAAATTTGGGAGGTCAGAACAGCTACCAGGAGCTACCAACACAACATGAAACAAAATTACTTGTCAGCCAACACCGTCCGTTCGTGGGTTGGGCGTGTTCAAGAAGATGCAGTTCATGCAAACATCATTTCCTGTCATGAGTACCCGGCCATCGGATTCAGGGCCTTCCTGCTTGCATTTCTTTTGGATCTGCATATGGCACAAGAAAACTTGTTGTGATACTCTGGTTGTAACCAAAACCATTAAAAATACAATTATATAAACAAAATATGCAAACTTTTATATCTTTTTCAGGATGGCTGGGCACACATGTTTTTTGCAGTGGCTGGATGTTCTCTTTCGCACTCCATGGCACAGCCCTGCTTTCGAGGCACCGCAGGCGGTGTGCATGGTCTACTGGGATGAGTTCGGGCCTGCGCTGCGAAGGCGCCAACGACCTTCCAGTAGCTTCGAGTAGCTTCCAAGATACTTGTTCATAGGTGTTCATTCGCACCAAACCTTTTCCCTCATCCTGTTGCCTTCCTTTAAGAAGAACCTTAGGTTAAATTTCATTAAAGTAAATCCAGAATCTATGAACATCATGATTCCTTTTGCAACAATGAGACCCGACTATGCACCCTCCCAATCATGAAGAAACCGTACCACATCAAGCACTCTTCACATCCCTCACATGTGCCAGCTTTAGTGCCACTGTGTCAGTCACGTTCATCGTTTTCGGCCCAGCCTCACTTCACTTGCACCTTGGTAGAACAGTCGATCTGCAGGCCTAGAGCTCTGACAGGTCCCAGTTGGCACCAAATCTCTTGTCCTCTTGCTGATCAGGTGCTGATGTAGGATGCCACGTACACATCCAAATGCTGGTCAAAGGACACCCGCGCCGGCATGGCGGACATCGAAAATCCCAACTTCTTCCTCTGAGCAGCGTTTCCGGACATGGGAGCAAGCCTAACAACTGTTGTGGAGTTCTCATGAGACAGGAAGTTAAGAAACTACGTACCTTTAGCACTCTTCAACCAAATGACGTGACTTGCCCAGTGTGGCAAGAAGTTGTCGCTTGAAAGTCGGCTGACGGGTCTGTTGCTAAATATTGGTAAATGGTCACCCGAAACTATATGCCATAAACCAACCGACGCTGATTCCTCACTCAGCAATGCCCACCCTGGCGTGCGCCAAGCATCTCACGCTCGAAAATCTCCAAGGGAAAATCACATTGGCCTCTCCTTGGATCTCGGCTTGCCGCTCTCAGTCTCAAGAAGCCAAAGGACCTTCGGCTTAAAGTATATCGACCCCCCAATGGATGCATACTATGTATTGAGCACCATTGGAAGCCGTTTCTACCTCTTTGGAGACGCTACTAGTAGCTCCTGGCCTTACTACTACGAGCGAAAGGACGTAGCTCCCACCTCAAGGTAATACCTTTTGTCCGGCCCAACGCCCACGCTTCCCAACCGTGGCATCATTGCCGGTGAGGGGAAGACGCCGGCCACCACCCTGCTCCCCTTGGGACGTGCGAGCATCAGTGTTTCTCAATATAAAGCGCACCATGCCTGAGGCACTTGAGGATTCCAGGACACATGCTGATGGAATGATCTGACTGCATGGAGCCTCATGAATGAACCAAGCAAGTACAAAGGCAGATACAACGTCAGATCATAATTCTCTCAGAGTTCCATCTTGGGAGCACCAAATCGTAGCATTCTATATATTCTATCAACCGGCAGGGTCTCTGAACCGCCATCGTAGTCATTGGTGGACGGCCGGCTTCACATGCGCTTCAACTCGAGTAGAAACTTTACATTCCCGCTTTGTCCTTGCTACTAGTAGCGTTGCCCGGGTTCCTAGTAGTGATGCCAGGAGCTACTAAAAGCTTCTTGTTCCTAGTAGCGATGCCGTTTGCTCCTAGTAGCGTCCTTGCTCCTAGTAGTAAGGCCAGGAGCCCCTAGTAGCGTCCTTGCTCCTAGTAGTAAGGCCAGGAGCTACTAGTAGCTTATCCTAATCAATACTTTTGACTCTCTAGGCGCCTCTAAGTGGGCCACTGGTGGGCGTGATGTATTAGCTTGTTCCATGTGTATGTGTGACACGTCTCACACTTGCATGTGTATGTGCGTATTACTTTGCATGTGTGTGTGTTACATCATACATCATCTTTGCATCTGGACCTGCACCGTCCGATACGCCGCGGTATCGATGCTCGGGTGCCTTCGCTTGATGGTGCTCCAGGCAATCGAAGAAGCTGGGCCAACGCTGCTCATAGAGGCCTGGGACCATGACACATCTTGACCCCTTCGGAATCACCCCGGGAGCCACATGGAGCCACCAGAATCAAACAGACCGCATGCTGCATAAATACACCGGGGTGGATTCCAACCACCACCCAAACGC